TTTATTTCGGTCATGGCGATTTATTCATGAAAAAATCGAACATTATACTCATATTAACCCAACAGAAATAACTATAAGTGATCGTCAATATTTTATCAACATACATTCTGTTATTCATAATCAATTATCGACTCCACCATTTAAAAATCTAATTAAGAATGGATTCATACAAGCTCGAATAACAAATGAAACAATTGGACAGATAGAAAAACCAAAAGATGCTTGCTTCAAGTACTATGATCTGTATTGTTCAATTAACAACTGTAGCGAACGAACACTATTAAAATATGCCTGGTGCGAAAAAGCTCTATGTTACTATCATCTGATTGAAGATATACATCTGCACTTGTAGAACATTTTCTAAAATAATATATTGTATAATACATTGTTATGCATTGAAAAAAGAATAGAACTATCTATAAGTTTAAGATTCTGCTAACTGCCCGCTGATCTTTATTTATATTGGTATTACTTAAACTTCAGATGATACTGAAACTAATGTGGTCTTAATATAATTGATTAATTTCAGAAAGATTCTTATAACCTACTACTGAAATATTCAAATGCATGCACAAAAAACTAATGCAAATAATCATAATGTTCCTATATACACTCAGATTGCTAGTATCGTAAAAATCGATTATCTCCCTGTAGACAAGCCAAGGGCCGCTAATATTTTAACCCTGTTAGTTTGGCGCTGAGAGCTTTCATTTGGTGTAAATAAATCTAGGTTTTTCGCTTATCACTTGAAACACCTCCATTGTAAGGTTATTTCTACTATGAACTACTTGTTTTGATTAACACGAGTCTTTAAGGCTCTTGACAAGGCTGAAACTGTATTTACACGATAATTTTCAAACGGAAAACGTCTATTATCACCAATAAAGGCCTTTAAAGATGTTTCTGAGATTTATACCTTAGTTGCAAGGTATTTTAAAGACTCCAAAAGTTGTTTTGAAGGAGGAAAATCTTTAAGGATGTTTTTCTTTGACTGATACTTAACCCAGAAGGTATTTCAAAGAGTGCTAGAGGCTCTTCAGTGGAAACGAATAATCCCAGGGTTGTTGACGGAAACGGTTCAATGCTTATTGTGTTGCAAGCAAAAATACGGTGTTATTTCGGTGTGATCTTGACGGAAAACGGCTGTAGTCTTTCGTTTTCCAGCTAGGATACAGTGTAGTTACTTTCTGTTTCTGGATACAGGAATCGTCTGGAAAATCGGTTTTTCGGTAGGGCGATTTTCCGATCTGAATTCTGCTTTCATGATCACCGATATTGACGGCCTTTTCCGGCAGGAAATATACTATGAAAGGGGCAAATTAGTTGGAAAAAAGTCCATTTCAGACGGGTTCCTTCGTTTCCAGGCTCCGTGATGATTCACTTGAGACGTTAAGTAAACAGTAGTTTTTACAAATCTTAAATGAGAGCTTACTTTATCTTATTCCAGTTTTTGTTGGGATTCACATAAACTCGCAAAGTATCATTAGCGCTAATATTTGTAAATTTCTCAACAGAATCCTAATGGAAGTTCTACATAATCATTCAGTTTAGGATTTTAACCGATCTTGTTATCGTCCTTCTTATAACCTGGTCTGACAAAACTATAAATACCTCAATGATCTCACTGTAAAGATTAAATTTACATCTTGGCGATTCTCTAGTAATTTCAAAGCAAACTCCTATCTGCTGTTACCACTAACATCCGTTGTAGAATCGAAAGCGAAAACTTCTTAACTTCTAGAAATCTGCATCAGCAATGCAGAAAAATATTTGACTAGTTATTCTGACCTTAATCAGAGGCAGGTCACCTTCAAGTTTGAAAAATTGTGCAACCAACAACTACCAGAATGCAACACAGAATCCTGAATAAAAGATAACAAGCCTTTGAAATTCTACATTCTAAACTATGCCGCAATGAACCGCCAAGATGCAGATTAGAGAAACGATGGAAGTCGAAGAACATCTGGTACAGAAATTGAGCAGATAGTTACCATGTAAAAGGCAAATGACTTAACCTTGTATTGGACATTTATTTTCATACGTACCCAGGTTGAAAAATCTGACATCAGATCGTACAGGATCTTATAAGATCTTGTAGTCTGAACAAAATCTTGCAAGAATCTGACAAAAAATCGTAGTCTCTGATTTCTTACACTAAGTCGTATTAACAGATCCTATAAGGATCTTACATGTACTTTATGTTCACCACAAACTTATAGTGCTATTTGAGGGCCATATTAGTTTAAATAGAATGGTGCTGTAATTAGTTCACGACGCAACAGATTCTTACAAGGATCTGTTAATACGACTTAGTGTAAGAAATCAGATACTACGATTTTCCGTACGGTTTTCGTCTGATCGTATCAGATCAAATATGATCAAATGTACGATTCTTGTAAGGTCTTATTATCTGAATGTTCGCCCTGGGTATTTTCAATCTAAAAAATCCTCGTGTATTTTCCTCCAGTCTGAATTTTACTTATGTTTGAGAGTTGCTAGGATTTGTACCTATTAACGTTGCTGTTGACAAAAAGCGTTTTCAAAATATCGCGGAGCAGTGAAAATTGAGCAGATCACATGGGACTCTCTAAGCACGTTAGACATTACCTGACTCCGTTATTGTCATAAAGAGTACGCTGCCTGTTGGAGCGATCATTTATTTTATCGAATGCTTTTGTTATGACCGAAGTGTTCCCCCTCGGTTATAAGACGGAGGAAAACGAATAATAGACACTCCTTTCTATTACAGTGGTGGTACAGCTGCCCGGAAAGCGGAAGATGCACGGTTCGATTCCTTGCGAAGAATGATTATTCTTTTGTTCCGTTGTGTTGTCATTCCATCTCGTTGCTATCTCGGTGATAACAGAGTATAATAATATTTGAGTAAGGGAAATAAAAGAAAGAGAAGAAACGAAATCATAACAGCTTTGTTCCCTCATGCCCTTTTCTTCGGGTAATAGCAGCCAGAAATATATTGAAAATACTAATTTTTACCATTTTTAACTCGAAAACTTCTTTCAAAGCCTGAAGGAGAAATTATAACTTTTTTAATGTATAAGTGTCTTCGTATTGCCGTTTAACTAATGTTGAGTTTCCTTAGTCTCTATTTTGATGTTGTGCTCAGGGCCGATTCTACTCATGCACCTCCTTTGTAATTTGTCGCAACCCTATATTTCTCTCATATAAAGCCACACAATTCCAAAAATCTCTGGACGACAGATCTTCTTCGTTCAAAAGGGTATTTAGAATCCTGTGGCTTTATATGAGAGAAATACAGGCTTGCGACAAATTTCAAACGAAGTGGATGAGTGGAATCGGCACTGAGCACAACAGCAAAATAGAAACTAAGGAAACTCAGCATTAGTTAAAGGGCAATATGAAGATACTTATGCATTAAAGCCCTCCCCCCCCCCTCAAAAAAGTCACTTTTGGTCAGAATCATCGAAATTGAAGTTAATACATGGGAAGATAGCCCGTGATCTGCTCTTTCATAGCTGATAAAAAGTTTTCCTCGATACCTCCTTTTTGCCCAAAATTTTCGAAGATTTTCGTCTCCCCCTATTCGAAAAACCAGCTGTTTTTTGAAAAATCAAAAAATGTTTTCCGTTTTTTCTCAGGTTCCACTTTCTCAAAAGCGCATCCCAAATTTCTCCTTCCTGGTTCATGCAATGTATTCATTTTTTTTTGTTTGAAAGAGCATCTCAAAGTGCAGGGCATGACGTGCCCTTTTTTAAAATTAGGCCTTCTGTTTGGTCAATATACAGCCAGTTATATGATTTTGCTACCATTTTTTGACACTTTTTTGAGTCATTGAACTTGTGATCTATTTTTGCCGCTTAAAAATGAACTATTTCAAAAAAGGGCCACGTCATGCCCTGCGTCTTGAGATGCTCTTTCCAACAACAAAAAAATGAATATATTGAACGAACCAGGATCGAGAAATTTGGGATGTCAAATGAGTCATTTTTGGCCCTTGTTTGGCTCATATCATCCTGAAACCTGAAGATTTCGGGCTGAAAATTTTACGGTAGTCTCCCCTTTCCAGCCCCAACATATCCTGAATGTTTCTTTTAATTTGGATGTTCCTGGGCTGAGATCGATTTGGGGGGGGGGACCTTAAAAAGGTTATAATTTCTTCTTCAGGCTTTGAAAGAAGTTTTCGAGCTAAAAATGGTAAAAATTAGTATTTTCAATGAATTTCTGGTAGCTATTACCCAAAGAAAAGGACATGAGAAAACAAACCGCCCGACAAAATAAATGGTCACTTCAACAGGCATCATTTTTGACGAAATAAATAGGCTTCTCTTATTGGTAATAGAGGAGTTAGGTAATGTCTGATTTGCGTAGTGAACCCTATGTGAACTGATTCGATTCTCACCACTCAACGAGATTTCCAAAACTCTTTTAACTACATCAGCGTTCACAAATACAAATCTTACGAGCTCTTAAATATTGGTGAAATATGGATTGAAGTACAATAGTCGAGGATTTCCTCCACAATTACAACAAAACAAAAGCAATATTATAATCGATTACAATGGGGCTTCTTAATCGATTAAAATTCTTCTGATCGCTTATCATCAAATTATAATCAAAATTATTAATCTGATTATTCTGCACCAAAATCCAAATTGTAATCGATTATAATCACAATTCATAATCATATTATTCTGCACCAAACTCCAAATTATAATTAGTTATAATCAAAATGATAATCAGTCCTGATCGATTATTGAGGTCTTCTAATCGATTAGTATTGATTGATGATTGTGATTTCAACCGATTATAATTCGGATTTTGGTGCAGGATAATTTGATTATCAATTTGGATTAGGCCCATAGGATTTTTAAATTTCAATCGATTTTAATCGCTAAAATTTTTCACTGGGATAATGCAATCAAACATCTATAATTCATAATGTATCTTCTGAAATTTATTCTTGTTTTACAACAGTCAATCATTGCGCACATGAATAACAACATTTATGATTTCTTAAATTAATGCATTTAATATTTATATCAATTATTATCATATGCTATTTATTTTTATTTACTATTATTCTTCATAAATCGGAAAGTGTCAAAATTCGACAAGATTTAGGTATAACTTGACATGGTGCTATACAATTATTAGTTGTATTAATATTAGCATTACATACACATTTAATCGTTATTCTTTATAAACGTGATTATTTAAATATTAATAAATGTAACAAAAAAAGTTGTTTAGTACATGAAGAAAATCTTTTTACTTGTGTTGTACTTAGTATGCTTCAAGTGGCTTATATCAGTTTTGATATATTAAATCATCAAGCATCAATTCATGCATTACCTGAAAATTTTGAATATCTCGCACGAGCAGCTGAGCATTTAGCTCTTTCGGAAGATTTTAATCATGTTAATGTTATACATCATCGACATATTTCACCAACTGAAAGTTTTGACACTGTTAATGAAGATTTTGTATCATAGTTAATTGAATTTTAAGCATTTTATATTTATGTTTATTTTTTTAAACGCTAGTAGTAGAAAACATAGTATTGAATTTATTCATTTATCTTAAATATAAACATAGATATATATTATTATTTAAAAAATGAATATACCTACTTTCGGCGAGGCAATTTCACTCATGGTTATCTAGTGAAAATACGAATTCTTAAATCTTTATGATTTGATTAAAATTAATAGTTCGATGAGCATATCTTTGAAGAGATACTATTAATGTGCATTATGTTTCTTAGTTTTGAATCATACATCATACAGAAACAAATTGCTCTGTAACTGATATTTCTATTAACCAACTGGATGTTTTTGACATAAAAATTATTAGCAAAGTTTTGAAGAAAATGTGTCCTAAACAAGATTTTTAATACGTTGTCAGAAAACAAATAAAGGTGGGTGTGGGGGTGGATTTAATGAAGATCCACACCCATACCCCATATTGAAATTCCTTGATTTGATTAGTCTTGTAATAGCTTGTAATAGACTGAAAATTCAGTAAAATGATCATAATTCGAGAAGAAAAGTCTAATGGAAAGAATTCTTTCAGAGTTTTTAAGCTACACTACGAGCTCTAATTATGAACGAAATATGAGTTGACACGAAAAAGCTTGTTAGCGCAGCCCCTTTGGGGCTGAAATGTGGAACTCACATATGTTCTTCAGCGTCGTTATAGTCATACGAAATACAGAAGGTGAAAAATAAAGAATTTTTTATTTTTCGTTTTCTGACGGGCGCCCTGTTTTTTATTTTCATTGTTACTATTCGCTCATTATTTTTTTTTCTAATTCGTTTTTCTTAATTTATCATTCTTATTATAATAATCATTGAAATGATTGACAAACAAGTGTGTTTTACATATCTATGATATCTACAGCAGATCTTACACACTATGATATACATTAATCAAGTCACAAATAATGATATTCATTATTTTTTTAAATAATAACTTGATCAATTTTCCAAAAAAAAACTAGAAAATCTAATATCTTTTATATTGATTGCTAAAATCTGTAATGGGGGGTTCCGTTGCTATGATCAGTAATGGGGGCCTGTCTGTAAGGGGTGGGGAGCCGCAAAAACTCGAACTTAAAACTTACACTCACTATTTTCTTCGAAAATATATGTGAGTTCCATAAAACTATCAGTTGGTGAAATTCACTCGTAAGTTAAATAGAATTACTAAACAAAGAAGATGTTTTCACAAATTGATTTTGTGGTTTCCACTAGTACACTACTGAGAATGATTCAATAATTAACTAGTTGATACTATCACGGTGTTAGATAACAGTACAATATAGAAATACCCCTGTTGATAATTAAAACTGTCATGATTAATATTTACAATCGATTGTGATGGATATATTGATAGAGAAAAAAAGTTTGACTTTTCACAGTTTGAAACAAGTTTTAAGAATTGATTCAATATGTAACTAAAGAGTAACGCATTGTTCAGAAGAATTTGCTAAATAAAAGATAACAAAACATCGAATCGTACAAAATTTGATAGTCAACAACTACGTTTACACTGACACTCTGTATTTATATGACCTATACTTTAAAATGACATTGCTTAGAAAATATTTTGTCGCAATTCAACAGAAAAATTTGGTGTTGACAGTACAATTGCGATATTATTCGCAACAAATTATCTTGTCAGTAGCAGAAGAGCACACTACTTTATGAGTATATAAGTGAATAAAACTTTTTTTGCTTTAATGAAAATTTAAAACATGAACAGTTCAAAGACATCTTATTATCCTAGTTTTTCATCATTGGATTTATATTATCTATCAGTTTCCTCGAATATTTTTCTTTATGGGTATATAATTATTTTGATTATTGGGTTTACTGGTAATATTTGTCAAATAATAACATTTTCACGTAAGACATTGAGAAATATTAGTACTGGCGTACTTTTTCTTGCATTGTGTATATCCGATACAATTTACCTTTTATTATCAATATATGTTGTAATTGTTTTTGGTTTTAATATTCCTGATCGATCAAATTATGCCAGAGATTGTCAATTTCGACATTATCTGAATTATCTTTCAACAAATTTCAGTGCTTGGATGCTTGCTACAAGTAATTCTTACTATTTTAGATTAAAAATAGAAAGTAATTTTTTTCTATTCTAGTTTCATGTGATCGTTGGATACGCTCACAATTTACTACTAAAGCTCAACAGTTTTGTACACCACGTACAGCTATTTACACAATTATCATTGTTTTTATATTTGATTGTCTTTTACATATTCATCTTCTTACACCAATGTTTGGTCAAATAGCACCGGGTGTAACAACTAATTGTGGTCCTGATAGTCGTTATCCAAGTTACACATATTTTTACAATACAATTTGGCCAGTTATTAGTCTTCTTACTGTTACAATTATTCCTGCAAGTTGTATGGTATTTTGTCTTATAGCTATAACTATAAATGTAAAAACTCATCGAAATCGAGTTATTGCTATAGGACAAACAAATGAAAATCAACAAGATAGACGACGTGCACATTTTCTTCATCGACAAATGCTTATACTTATGCTTGCTACTCTAATGCTGTTTTTTCTTACAACATGTCCTATTGCTTTATTGAATTTTGCAATTGCTACATTAAATATTCAACAATCATTTTCTTTTAAACTTATGTTAATATCTATATTGGATTTTATAACATTATTAAATTATTCATTAAATTTTTATTTACATAGTTTAACATCGAAATTATTTCGAAGAGAATTTTTTCAATATTTCCCGTGTTCAATTTCAATTACTTTTCGTCGATCAAATCAAACTTCTAATGTAACTCGTACTCAACGACATTTAATTCGACAACAACAAGGAACGGTTACACAATTAATCGGATAGTTCTGAAATTCTAATGAATTTGATAGGAATCCTATAGCGTCTATATGAAGTTTCTTTTTGGACGTAAAATATCATATAGATGTTTACAGTGAAATGTATTTCTTTATTGCAAAATTATCAGTCAAACTATTAGATTTTGCATTACATAATAACGAAACGAGAACATCATTTGAATATTGTAGAATCAGTGTCATAAATAATGTTAAATGGTTTGATGTTATGTCGTAAATCGAATATAATCAGATTAAAGAATCGTAATAAATTGTTTGATCTATTAATCACAAAGTGTAAAGATTTACTTTTAAAGTCTTGAAATTATAAATTGAAATGGCAGCATTTAAATAAATGAATTCTTCTCTGCGAGTACGTTGATAAGTATAGATTTTCATCTGCATTCTGCAGTATAGACACCTTGCCAGTTGACGAGAGGCTTATCCGAACTGTAAATCATCGTTTGAGCACCTATTAAATTCCATAAAAGGTCCCGATAGGACTAGAAAATGTCTAAAAAGGTCGGTATACATAGGGTGTGAGTGTGGGATGTGGGTGTGGATGTGTGTGGGTGCGAGTATTCATCTGCGCCTGTGCGTCGGTGGCGGTTTACTTTCCATGCTCACCCACGCCCAGTTGTCGAGCTCAATATTGTGTTCGAAACAGTCGACACAGTAATTATCCCATTGACAGATACACAAATAATCATTATCGTAGAAGTACAGATGTGAAGAATCATTTAGACAAATCTGATGATATTTGAAGACATCGGAGATTGATTGAAAATCATCTTAATGATAAGAAAACAGTCAATTATGTCTTGCATTGCATTTTAATTTATATTTCAGTGACAGATGGGAAGAAGGTGGGGAGTGTTCTGGAGGGGATATGGTGTTGATCGATGATTTATTTGGTTGCATACAGAGAATAAAATATTTTGCGTGAGTTGAATCTCAATAGGGCTTTAGAATGCCAAGAGGAGGTGCGATAATTTGACCATAGCTATATGAAATTAAGGATGGTAACCCATTCGTAACTTGCTGGTGTTAAATTACAAGTTGAAATGTGAACGAATCTATATAAAAAATTGAACAACACTTGCAATTGGTAATCCAACGATAGAATTGGAATCGAGTTTGATTATAGGGGTGAGGTGTGAGTGTAAATGTATACCAGATCTGCACAGATACCCGCATCCACCCTCTTAGAGTATTTTTATGAGGTACCAGGGATTCATATAAAGTGTCTACTTTGTTCAAGCAATGACAAACAAAAAGATGAGTAACAATTATCAAGTTCGAAGCACTGTTGACAAGTATAACACTTACTGCAGCAGTTTTTCGGTATGGCGAGGAGAACGTCGCCAATATTTGTTTTCCACTCGAGCCACGAAAACCCTCTGCAACTAGCGCTTTTGATCTATCAAGGCTGATTAATCACATTTCAAATTAGTCTTTGTGCCATGAGAGGAGAGTTTGACGATGAAGGGCTGTCTATTTCTTGAAAATTCTCTGCTTTAGTGAGCCAATAAGAAACAGCTATTCATGATGATCGTCAATTTTATTCATATTGGTGACAATAGTTATTCTCGTTCCACTTTGAAGTCTGCTCAATGTATAAAGAAAAATACGAATGAAAGTAAACCATTTATGAGAGTATAGTGTCCAGCAAGTAGTCAATGTTGCACATCACATTACTCGATTATGCCCATTTCATTTCAGTTTGCTTGATCTTCTATCAAATTAGTTCTTTGTCTCGTGTAAAATTAACCCTAGTTTAAACTCGAGCTAACTAAAACATAATCCTTGAAGAACTACATCAATTGAGGTAATTCGATGCTCAAAATAGAATGATGCGAACTTGATAATTGTTACTCATCTTTTTGTTTGTCATTGCTTGAACAAAGTAGACACTTTATATGAATCCCTGGTACCTCATAAAANCATTGGGGGAGGGGGGTCTTATAATTATGAGACACACTGATTTGAAATTTTTAAAATTTATTCATTAATGGTAATTGACTAAATTGAAACTAATATGGTATATGATAGAGTACTGCTAGATATCTTTAGGTGTGACATTAGATTGGAAATGAAACCCTCTTTAG